TGTCGTTCAACCGTCCCATATGAATTATATTTGATGTTATAAACCCATTTACTCCCTATTGCCTTTTTCCCGGGAGGTAGAGTTTCCAATGTCCAAGTACCATTATCCTCTAGAGCCTGGATTTCCTTCCTCATAGCTTCCCTCCATTTCTCACTTTTCATTGCCTCCGAAAAGCTGGTGGGCTCGGCTCCTGTAGTGACTGCAGCTAAGAAAGCTTGATGTCTAGTAGAGAAGTTAGTACATGTCACATAATTCGCTATGGGATAGGGAGTCGTACATGAGGACTCTGATTCAGAGTTGGCTTGAGTGTGAATGGGGTTTTTCAAACATCGAGAAGTGTAGGTCACATAGGGCTTCAACAAAACAGATGGCGTGTGATGCCGATGTCCCCTACCAAGTTGCTCTTCTGGTGCCGTTTGTGGTGCTGGATCAACATTAATTCTGTCCTCACTGCCATTAATTCCCACTTCCTGCACACTCTCTTCTTCTCCGTGCTCCTCCTCTCTTCCATCATCATTATTCTCAAGGCTCCCCCTATCACAGATGTTGGCTGCATCACTCCCCCTGTCTTTATTCCCTCTGTGGCTGTGTACAACATCATCATTGACTGCGGCATCAACTGGTGCAATGGTCGGGCTAGGTTTGTCTCCCAGAGTGGCTTCTGAACCAACAACATATGGAAATATATTTTCATGGAAGACTACATCACGGGAGACAAAATATTCACCTCTTTCAACATCATATATGCGCCAACCTTTCTTTTCGTAGGGATAACCCACAAAAACACACTTCCTACTCCTTTCTCGAAACTTATCCTTATCTCGAGGACTCCAATGAGCATAGTAGAGAGCCAAATACTCTCATGTGCTCGTATTGAGGTGGCGTCCCGAATAGTACCTCATACGGAGTCTTCCCGCCAAGTACAGAAGAAGGTGTCCTGTTTATCAAGTATCCGGCGGTTAAGGCACACTCCCCCCAAAAACCAATGGGCAAGCCTGGTTGAAATCTCAATGCTCTCGCAACATTCAAGATATGCATGTGTTTTCTCTCTACCCGACCGTTTTGTTGCGGTGTCCCAACGCATGAAGTTTGATGCAGAATGACATGAGTCTCAAAGTATGATTTCAAGCTTTTAAATTCTGTTCCATTATCACTTCGAACAATCCTGACTTGCTTGCCAAACTGACGTTCTGCCATGGCACAAAATTTCTCAATAATATGTGCTACTTCACTTTTGTCCAGTAACAAGTAAACCCACACAACACGAGAATAATCATCAACAATGGTTAGAAAGTAAACTGCACCACAAGAGGCAAGTACTTTATCGACACCCCATGTATCACAATGAATTAGAGAGAAACAATCATCAGCTTTATGTTTACTTTCAGGAAAAATTTCCCGTGTTTGTTTTGCTCTGTAACAAACATCACATGGCTTATTTCCTTCAGTTCTACTATTTAATTTATCTGCTTTAGGAAGAAAAGATAATATCTGTTTAGATGGATGCCCTAATCTGCGATGCCATAACTCCCATTCATCCAGACCTCTTGTTCTATTCGCCCGAACCGGTGTTGCTCCTCTAAAATGATAGACCCCATCACACTGCTCACCCACTCCGATCAGACTCCTCGAGGTTTGGTCCTGTATCACACATAGTTTGTTAGTAAAAGTGACAGTACAATTTATCTCTCGCAATAATTTTGCTACGGAAATAAGGGTGCAGTTCATTCTTGGTACAAAAAGCACATGATGTGGATAAATATTTCCACCCAAATGTAAAGTCCCTTCCTTCACTGCAGTGGTTTGCTTTCCATTGGGAAGTCCCACCGGACACGGTGTAATATTCCATACATCCATCAATAAGTCAATTTCTCCAGTCATATGGTGCGACGCCCCGGAATCAATTATCCAATCAGTAGAATTTTTCTTACTAGAGAGTTTTTCATTAGTCCTGGTTTTGTAAGCATCAAGCATGTTTATGAGAATCTACCACTGCTCGTCATTAAGCCCGTTTAGTCCGGTCCTGTCTCCGTCAGTTACGATTGCATTAGCAGCCACCTCACGCCTTACCGATGATTGAGCAGCATGAGTTTTTGCTGAACTTCGGTCACGTCCGCCAGAAGGTCCAACATACTTACTCGAACTCTCACCGTTCCTACTGCAAATGGTCGTCGCCGTTTCCCTCCCTGACGTCATGAAAGCGTCAATCCGTCCAGACATTGTCAACTTCGTTCACGTTAACGTATCAAAAAAAAGGAAAGACCGCCGTTAGCAAGCACGTCGCCCATCAGACCTCTACTAGGTCTTCTTCCTTCTAATTTCGACTCTGCGGCGGGAAGAGGAGTTGCAGCGACAAGCTTTCTCTCTTGTTCTCATCGAATTCGATGAAGCATCGGTCCTTCATATCAATTTCCGATTCCCGAGTTTTGATACCGTTCGGGGAAAAGGGGTCCCAGTTCTCTTGTTCCGTCGATCGATTTCAGACATCAACAGAGGCAATAGCAACAACAGCCAATCCACTGTTCATTAGCATCTTCTATCGAACCCGAAACCGGAGGCAATGGCGACAAAAAAAGGAACGCATGATGGAGCAGCGTCTCTCATCCTCTTTGTGTTCTTCCCAGAAATCGTGACACTGTTCATCGTCTTGAAAACCAGAGCGGCGGTGGATCTGAAACCGATGACCCGCGGGCATTGAGAAGACATCTTCCACGATCAAGATTCTCAAGCAGGGTCCTCTCATTGGATAGCCATGCGATTCGACCAGGAAAGGGTAAGATGAGGAACCGTCGATACATTTCTCGCAAGGGTCCTCTCATTGTTTATGGCACTGAGGGTTCCAAGATTGTGAAGGCTTTCCGCAACATCCCCGGTGTCGTAGTTGCCAGTGTCGTAGTTGCCAATGGGAGAGAAGAGGAGGAACAGTTCTCGCCGCCGCTGGTTCCGCTCGAACAGGGAGAAGAGGAACAGTAGCTTCGCCGCCGCTCTTCTGGGTTGGGTTCGAATGGAGGGGACAAGCTACAGTGCCGATCTGGAAAAACTGGAGTGCAAGGTTTGGACTCTGCTGGCGCCAAGCGAATGTGGTGTTGCTGTTTGCAACTTCGTTATGGCTCTGATACCACGAAAAAATAATCTTTGTGGAGAATCTCTTCTTTCATTATGCAAGGCACAACCATATATATACACATACAATCGACGCCTTAAATTTAGGAGCAGGAGACTCACTTGTAGTAATAACCTACCTACTAATCATACCTAGCTAAAGATGCGTAGGGAACTACCAGAATTTGTGCCTAGATACATGCTTATCCAGAATTTCCTAGTCCATGACGAATTCCAATACCTTAAAACTACAAGGGTGCAACCGGATGATCACAAAAAAAAAAATACAGGTATTAACTACCATGGGAGCAGAAAAAGTCGCCGACGATGTCTCCCGATGAATTGCAGCGGTATATAAACTAGAATTTAACATGTACACGACCTCTGAGATCAGAATTCAATTTAACAGAAGGGACCGTACGAATCTCTTCCGTCAGCCTGTCAACAGCCAGGGCGGTAAAGCGATCCAACAGAATAGGATCATTACAGGATTGAACCGCACATTCGAGACGGTGCTTTAGACGGCACCCTTCGACCTCATGCCCCACCCGAGCACAAAAAATACAATAACGAGGAAGTCGTTCGAATTGCACCCTAACCTTAATGGTCTTCCCGTCCAGAAATGTATAAGGAACCTGTTGAACTAAAGGGGAGGAAATATCGATGGAAATCTTCAACCTGATAAATCTGCTTCATTTTTTTGTCTCGTTGCCAGAAGGGCGATACGGCCGACCAATACTAGAACCAATATGCATGGCCGCATTAGTATTCAGATAGCCTACTGCATTAATATTCACGCTCATAGCCGCTTGGGAATCGGACAAGAAATGAGTTATCCGTGAAATCTAATATACTGTGAGGATGAACCTTCCAGGATTTAACCAGCATCTCTTTAAGACCTGTAACACACAATTGTCTGTCAGTTATTACTCTACAGACCAAACTTCATTGCCAGTCATCCGCCGGAGAAACATCATCTTGGTTTTCTAGAAGTGGAGAAGAAGAGGAAGGGAGAAGGAGGCGAGAGAGCTCTTGTAGTGTAGAATCATCCGCCATTCAAAACATGAGGGATAAAACGCTTGACGAGGAAGAAGAAAGGAGAAAACCTACTCAGTTGTTAGGAGAAACGACTTACTTAGTTGCTCATGTTGGATATGATATTATGTTCTGCAAGTATTGACGTTTATTTCAGTCTTGTAAATCCTTGGGTTATTTCTGCTTCCAAATTCCAGTGAGAGAGAATATTGTCTTCAACAATCAATAATTCAATATTGGTAGGTGGGTAGACACTAGACAAGCATACTTCCAGAGTTCCAGTAGTCCCATGACCCACATCGGATACAAGATAGGCCTCAACCCAGGTCCAACTAGAGATGGGGTAGGCCTCATTTCCCGGCCCAGGGTAAATCTGAAGCCCAAACACGGTGAAGGGTGGACCATGGGATATTGGGATAATGGCCAAGCCAAAGCCCAGCTCGAACCGTACTGTACTATCGTCATTGAAATATCGTTTATTTTGGTTTCAGGTAACAAAAGACAATTTAAAAGGAGAAGGCGACCGATTCACAGTGAATGGCAACAGCAGTCGCACCCCTGAGCGATTCTATACGTGTATTCACAGCAATAGTCCGGAATCATCGACAGGTATTGAGGGTTTCTCTGGCTAGTCGCCTGGCTCTCGTTCGCCGCCCCATCCACCACCGTTCACCTTCCGTTCCGGCGATATTTTCCCCTATTCCTTCTTTGCTCCGACGTTATTCTGTAGTGTCTCACGCTATGAACGGTAATACCACCACTTCCAATGGAGAGGGCAGTCCACTCGGCAACACCGCTGCTCCTGGGGCTGGGACAAACCCACCTCCATCTAACACTGTGAGTCTCTCTTCTCTCTCTCTCTCTCCCTCTCTCTCGTGCTTTCTCGATTCATTCGATCAAATTTGATGACGGATGGTGGTGAGGTGATGTGCAGGTTAGGGCTGTGATAAAGGGGAGGGTGCAGGGGGTTTTCTACCGAAATTGGACCATAGAGAACGCCCAACAGTTGGGTCTGAAAGGGTGGGTCCGCAACAGGAAGGACGGTTCCGTGGAGGCTCTCTTCTCCGGTGACCCTGATTCAGTCCATGAGATGGAGAAGCGCTGCAGGCGTGGTCCCCCTGATGCCATGGTCACCTCTCTTCAAGTCTTCCCTTCCAACGATGACCCTGGTCCAGGTTTCGAACGCAGGCCCACCGTCTGATGATCCTCAGCTCATTCTCTCTCTCTCTCTCTCTTTCTCTCTTTCTCTCTCTCTCTGACTCGTTTTATTCCTTAAATTTTGATTGTAGCCTTTATATTTCTTCTTATGATCGAAAGAAATCTGTTTTGTAGTAACTATGTTATATATTTATAAATAAAGATAATGGTGGGATTTGTTCAACAAATATGCTTCAGTGCCAATATCTGGTTGCAGTGCTGCTCAACACAAACAATCAGAAGCACCAAAATTTGGATTACCCAGTTGGGAATTTTGATATATTTTAGAGTAGGTGACTTGTTGGTGTTAACTATAATCTCATCAATCATCATCACCTTAGGAGATTGAATTGTCTGTATACATATCTTCATCTGAGTGTGCTTCTCCTCCAATTGTAACAGCAAATGTGGTAAAGCAAGATGGAAACATCTGAAATGATTCAACAACTCTGCAGCAGAAATTACCCCTTTCTACTTTAGATCGATCTTTTTTCACTGTGTAGTTCTTGAGACCTATTTGAACCTTCCCTAGGCTGCTTCTTCCAGTTTAATCAAGAATCACCCAAATGTTAATTATTTTCGTTTATTAGTTCATGCATATAGCATTTCAAGCAGATAGTTTATGATCAAAACTTACTAGTTATAATTCACAAGGTTAGAGCTACTCAGAAGGATCCTTACTATGATTTATACAGATTAAACGTAAACAACAATTCACTTTAAGCAGTCAAAACACTTCCATTCACCAATGTACACCACCTTTTAATTTACCTCGTACACATAAATTACATGTGGAATTCATGTTTATTGATCCACATAAACCTCATCCTAACTGCAGAGGAAGACATTTCCTGAACTTTCTGTTTGGTTAGAAGAGACATGGGTTGAGTTTCATGGTTCCTCAACTGCATCAACTGCCCGATGAATGAGCTCCAGAATATTTCCTGCTTTTCTCTTGGCTCGTTCTGTACCATTCTCTGTCAATTCCTTCAATGCCTCTTCTGCTCCATGTTCCTTAGCATTTTTAATATGCTGTGCATCGCATGTACACAGTGACCACAACACAGCTGCAGCATTCTCCCGGTTTCGCGGGGACCCAGTTTTCATTACCTCAACTAAGATTGGGATAGGATCAGCCTGACCTATAGCCACCTTCCCTTCTTGGTGGCTTGCAAGGATTGCCAGTATTGCAAGTGCCTCATCCACCATCCCACCACTCGCATCCATCATCAGCTTCATCAGTGGTGCTACAATCCCAGCCCTCACGGCCCTCACCTTGTTTCCTTGATAGATTGATAGGTTAAAAATAGCAGTGGCAGCATCTTTCTTGCCTCTTGGACTTCCTTCACAGAGCAAACCAATAAGAGCAGGGATAGCGCCTGCTGCCCCAATCGCCACCTTATTCTCATCTACAACAGACAAACTGAAAAGAGTGGCAGCTGCATTTTCCCTTGCTTCCATGCTGCCATTCTTGAGCACCTCCACTATATCATGTATGGCTCCTGCATTAACAATTCTTCCCTTGTTTGCCTCATTAATGGAGAGGTTGAGAAGTGCTGTGACTGCATGCTCCTGTGTCCTAGGATCCTGGGAAGATAGTAAATTGACAAGCAGGGGAATGGCTCCTGCCTCTGCAATACATACTCGGTTATCTGCATTCCTTTTTGCCAACAACCGGAGCTCACCAGCAGCTGCCCTCTGCTCTTCAGTGTTCCCAATTGATAATTTCTGTAGTAGGGCATTGATGGCTGTTTGATCACAATCAGATGCACAACTTCCAGACTTCTTGTTTCTGCAACTTCCTTGTTTCTTTGGAAGTTTAATGCCATTGCTCTCACACCACTGAGTGATGAGACTCTTCAATGCATAGTTTGGTGTCAGGGATGTATGCAACAGAGTCTGCTGTGTCTTGGGACAAGTCTTGTGCCCTGCATCCAGCCATTTCTGAATGCAGGAACGTTCATAAGTCTGCAAAAGAAGTAAACTAGCAGTTAAATTAGGGATATCAATATCAAATACAGTCTCCTTAGCTGGTGGGAGCTACAAACCTGTCCAGTAGCGACAATGACAGGATCTTTCATCAACTCAAGAGATATTGGGCACCGAAAATCATCTGGAATGACAGGAGACCTGTGCTTAAAGCTCTTTTCACCCTTGGAGGTTTCTGCTTCTGAATCTCCTGTGAGTACGTAGCCATTAAGTTTTTTGAGTAAACCTTTCATTTCCTCGAGACATTCTCTTAGATCTCCATCAGTTGAGTCGGCCATTTTGTGCAGAGCAAATGCCTCTTTCTTGATATCGTTAATAGTCCTGAGCTGCAGCTTTTCTGAAAGTTTCCTTAGAACTGCGGGATCAAAGCTCTTTTCTTTATGTGCTGTAATCAAATCCGGTTTCAGTTGGAAATCGGGCGACTCCATTCTTTCTTTTGCCCTTCTAAATTGAGCATGCACGAGTTCAATCTGGATTGCAATGAATCAAGTTGTATGGGTTGTCAGAAGTTTATATTTTATTTATCTACGGTTTAATGTTAATGCTCTTCATTCTATTACAGTGTTTCTCTGATAAAAAATTAGGGTTGGCACCATTTATATGTACAGCAGCAGTTATTAAATTAAATGATTTCAATAACAAATTGTTGGCAAAAGGTACCTGCTCATGAACTTCCTCTGATAAATCGAGTTTATCATAAGGAATCTCACTCAATGCCTTTTCAATTTGTTCTGTCACCTTCAGGAATTTACCTGCAATTATCTCCCCATATAGAGCCTGCAAACAAAGTTTAATGCTTACATCAAAAACATCTCTTCTGATCTAGTCAAATTCTGCTAATGGGAACACAGAGATGAATATCTTAGGGTACGTTTGGTTTACAGTTGGAATCGGAATCAAAATTTCTTAAAATCGGAATTGGAATGGTCAATTTCATTAGTCTGTTTGGTTTAAACAGGAATCGTGATTGAAATTGAAATGAGCTAGAATGGGATTTCATTCCCAAGGGAGAGGGAGGGAATGACCATTCTCTTAAATGGGGGAATGCCATTCTAACAGGAATGGAGAAAGGATTCCGATTTCACCCAACCAAGCAGTTGGAATTGGAAGGATCCATTCCGATTCTAGACCCTTATTCTCACGAACCATAAGCCATCGTTCAAAAAGAGAAGAACTGGTTTATTTTAATACATCATGTAGAATAGAAGAAAAGTGTTTGGTTTACGGTTGGAATCAGAATGGAAATTTCTCATAATGGGAATTAGAATAAGCTGGAATGCAATTTCATTCCCAAGGGCGGGGGAGGGTATGGCTATTTACTCAAATGGAGAAATGTCATTCCACCAGGAATGTGAATGGGATTCCCATTCTGCCCAACCAAACAGTCCGATTTCAAGGGACTTCAATTATACTTGTACAGTATCTGGGTCTGGGATGTAATCAGGTAATATGTTGATATATGCTTCCCAACTTAAACAAACTTGCATTGCAAACAGTCAATAACAAACTCCCATTAGTCCCTTTAAGTGCATTTTCATAATTAAGGGAATGCAATTCCTGCCATCTTGAGAAGCTCCTATCTTCTTTACGATCGTTACTGGTAATGGCAAGCCGGAAAAGAAACCATGACTGCAGTTGTTTCTCTCTGATTCATACATCCGATTACATTAATAAGAGACCATTTGCTTCAAAATTGATATTTATTTTACAGTTTCAATGTTAGATTCTCTGAAGAGCAAATTAAATTTCTATTTCCAGTTAAAATCCAAAACATCCAAAATTTGATAGTTAATCTACAAACTCTTTGATGGGTTTTCTCCTTTCAATTTATTTGGGAAAAATGTCGATTCAGTAAAGAAGAAAAATGATGGCTTCAAATATCCATAAAATCAACTTAATCAATCGACAATGGGCGATGAGTATCAGTACCTGATAGAGCTTGCTTCCTTCGTTCACCGACTGAAGAAGCTCCTTGGCTGATTCCAAGGCGACCTTCAACATATTCAGAGCTCGAGCGTCTTCCTCGCCCAGAGGCGCCTCTCTATCCCTCAATTCCTCAAAAAGAGGGTTCAACAGCTTCACCCTCCTCAGAAGATTATGGTACATCTTCTTCGATGTACTCCGACACTCTGGAAACCCAGAAGCTTCCTTCACAATCTGAACGAGTTGTTCCACCACCTCGTTCGGTTCCTCCATTGACACCACTTCACCGCAGCTAGAAAATCGAAAAGCCGAAAAACAGACCTGGATTCTTCAAAATTGGGAGTAACAGAATGGATCCAGTTAAGAACTCCCTGCTCTAAAACCCCCAACAAACATGAAACATAAGAATCGCCATGAAGGTAAAGACGAAGAAACTCAAACAACACAGCAAAGTAGGAAGACTGAATTGAAGAGAAGAAGATCAAACAGCAAGAGAAATTGAAGAAAGGGGTTTAAATTAAGAGAAAATCAAAATGAAGATAAATTAAATGGAAATGAAATGTGACCTCTTCTGGCCATCAGAGACCAGGTCATGGAGATCACCCTTACGGACGAAGTCCGACGTTGACAACCCCACTGATGTTTATATTTTAATAGTTGACCAAACTACCTTTCCGATTTTGGCAAAATCGCCCCTTGCTTGTTGATCTCCCTTCAGACTCCTTGAATTACAGTTGAGGGTAGTTCAGGATTTTCGCACATAAGAAGGGCGTAAACCCGTGCTATGCCGTGTTCAGGTTGGTATCATTGTAGATTCTCAATTGGCGGTCGGGATTCACTCATTTATTTTACCCGCGTTAGTTGTGCAGACACGCCGGCGTCCGGCGGTGGCTCGGCTGAGCTCAACTGCACTGAACGCTTCGACCATTCAAGCTTAACAGTTTTTATTTTCTAACGTCTCCCAAGCTTTTAACAGTTTAGGCTGCGTTTGCTTGCAATGCAAATGCAAACATGTACCTACCCTACATATTTACTCATATTTCGGTTCATGAATGCAATTGCAAAAGTAATTGCAAAAGTGTGGTTCTATCATTAAATGCTTCGATTATCTTATGCTCAATGCATTAATTTTGATCAAATAATTATCAAAATAACACAAGATTGCATTCAAAAGTAAAAATGTTAGAAAATACAATTTTACTTTAATAATCATTACTTTTTTACATTTTAAACAAACGCTCACAAACGCGAGGCTTTTGTATCGCAAACAAACAGAGCTTTAACGTTTGCCGCATGTTAAGAAGCGATGAAGCAAAGAATTTAGGGGGCGTTCTTTTTCTGGATTTGGGGGGAAGGGAGTTGGTTAACCAAGAAACCCATGTTCTATACTTTGGGTGAGTGATACCCTTGGGGTAAATAATTTTTCCCACTTAGGGGAAAGTTACCAACACTTGAATGGGACAAAAATGTTCCTTTTAATATTGGAGTTTTATGGTTACAATGGTCATTGCCTTATTTATATGGAAAATAAAAGAACATGGGTAAATACACTTATTCGAGTAAGTCTATATGGGGAAACACTTACCCAGGTAAATGCATTTACTCGGGTAAGTAACTTATTGAAAAGTGAACGAAGCCTATAGATGAAAAGGCCCCATTATTTAAGTATGACTTTGACCATCCGAATGCATAATCTCTTCTTAATTTTAAGGCCTTGTTTATTATTTATTTGGATAAATGCACTTATCTGGATAAATGTTTTTTATTGGGAAAGTGTTTTGTTTTTAAATTTTTGGGTAAAGTTATATAATGATCTATTATTAAAGGGACAATATTGGCTATGTTTGGTTTTGTTGTCGTTTATTAAAAAAGTTCCGCTACATCAATATCATATGGGCGTTGGCGTTTGTTGTGCATAAAAACATTGTTTGGTTTCAACATTTATCAAATAAGTAATACATAAACACTTAGATTTGTATGCATGAGATGTTTGGGAAAGCTTCAAATTCTTGTTTCTCCCAAACGCGTGCACCTATGTCACGGGGCTAATCGACGGGGCCCCATGCGGCGCTCGATTGGGGTCGAGAAAGCCTACAAATGCAAGCAACAACACACAAAAGGAACAAATTAGACAAAAGGCAACTTGTATTGCATTAATCAGTGGTAAGCACAAGCACACAGTACAGTGTCGAGGGGATCTCGTGCTTAACCTTTACACGCTTATGAGCACACTTGGCTACCTACCTCCCCTCAAAGAGTACGTTAAGATTTTGGGGGAGTGACAAAATGATACATCAAAATACTGTACATGCATACTACTATTTACATAATTTCCATTGGCATACCCCCCTTACAAAAAGAGTACAAGGACCCAACCCAAGACACTTAGATGGTGTGCTGATGGCGCTGATGGTGGCTGAACCGTCACARTCTCCCCCACTCAATTCAATCTTCGTCCTCGAAGATTCTTCCTCAGGTACTCGTCCAACTTCACTGCGAACGGAAGGGGGTCTTCTGCAAGCTCCCAAGTGTCTTCTTCTGCAGGTCCCTTCCACTTCACCAGGTACTCCCATTCTGATGTTTGGGAGGATTGGGACAACCTATGGTTGAGGATGGAGTCRAGGGATCGGTTCTTGGGTGGTYGGTAGGATGGGTGTGGGCGTTGACTTTGGTTTTGAGAGGTATCTTAGCTATCGGCATGGTAGGGTTTAAGTTGGCTTA